TCGGCTACAGATATACTGGAAACTGCGGGACGAAGAGCGATGTTATTGCCCGTATCTGCAGCGTGAATGGAATGTGGAATAAGGTGTCAATCGCATAAGAGAATTTACCGCTAAAACAGAACTTGCATCATGTATTCTACCCAGATTTTTTTTTTGCGGTGCTTTAAGGATGTTATCTACATGTGGTGAGCCTGGATGTTATGTAAATGTTCCCACGAATGACACTCATAGCTAGCATTGGGCCTGGGCTAAAAACATACGTTCGATCATTTCCAGATGGAAACATGCCATATAACCTGAGCCAGGTAGATCATCGACGTTCGGTGTATAATAAGAACGTCAATTATAAGTCGTAGTAATAGGAGGGAAAGAAAAGTATGCATTGTTTCTGTTCAAGGCCAACTTTAATGAGTCACGGTTCGACTACTTTTGAATAGTAGTAGTCTTCATTGAAAATCGGGGCCTACGGCTGCATCCAAGAAAGGATAATGTACTACCTGATAGGACAATAAAAGAAAAGAAAAGATGCATTTCTTCCATGTGATGATCTAGGTCAAACGCCGAGTTATTGCATACCTTGACAATCCAGCACACATGCCGGCAAGGTTGCGCGTCAGACCTATTAAAGACGTCAATGAATATATGACAGAACTAGTAGTCGAGGACAAAGGAAGGACGACAGTTCTTTGAGTTCTTTGAACCCGGAATATACGCTCAACCGAGCCTTCGAAAAATATATGCGCTATGGGGTAGGATATCAAAGGAAGGACGATATCATACGGCCACGGTATACTTATCTTTGTGTGTAAATGGGATACCATAGAAGGAAATCTCCTTGGCCCGGTGGATCATTGGGAATGTGTCATATGTAACGATTCAGAGGCCGAGGATTTGGGGTACGTAGATAGTCAGTACTTCAGTAGTGGTGCCGATCGCGGAGAAGATGGTTGTCATCACTGAAGCTGATCGAGGCACCTAAAAGTCAATCTACGAACACCAAGTAATACTTTGTTGACAGTAAACAGTATGCCAGACTTAGGCTTTCTCAAGCAGGCTTACTTAGAACTGAAAAATACGGCACACTGTGTCCTATAAAGAAGGACAAAGCTCCCGGTTTTCAATTGGCTGCTGACACACGGCATACGGACGATTTGTATGTGTGGCAATTCGATGACATACTCGTTGATTTGCACGAGTTGCAGGTCAGATATGACAAGAGAAAGAAGTTGCTGAACATTGTGCCGATTCCGGCTGACGCGTTCACCGGTCCGGAAAAAACCGAGAACCTCGCTGCGTTCTATCCTACTGTCATTCTCCTTTGTCTGCATACCTAGACCCAAACCAGGCCTCAGTCGGTGAGCAAAGACTTCTCAGGCAACGCATATGTCACATTGTCAATTCAAACTCTTGTCGGGCCAACCGAGACATCATTAACACCAGTCTTTGATTGGAGGTTCATTGTCGGGACCTTGAAGTTGTAAACAACAGCAATTTCTTCCGAAGACGTTCAAGTCGCATGATTCGGGCCGTTGACTCAAATTTGCTTATGTCGGCGCAGCCTCTTTGTCTCGTTATTGATACAATGCAATTCACTCCAGGCCCCAATTTTTCGCTTCGTCTTGGTATGGGAATGAAGCCTGATATTCTGGAAAGACCCTGTCGCTTCTTGCTTGGTCCTCTTCTGTCACTTCCCTTTCCATTCCGGACTATAAAGCTTGCGCTGCCCAAAGATCAAAGATGTATCAATTATGGAGCCCACTTCTCTGTTTATTGTCGCGCTTCTTGTCATTGCTATCACTATTTTAATCTCCAGACGAAAACATTCTGTTGTCAAACAGCTTCGAGGCCCTACACCGGACTCCTGGCTTCTTGGTGAGCCTTATCTTCGCTTGTAACATCTCCTTGTCATTTGGATTCCCAAGGCAATGAACATGCAATTAAGCATCAAGACCAAGTCGGCGACTTGGACTTTCCTTGGTTTCGCGAATATGGATCAGCCTTTCGTGGGACTGCTTGCTATGGCGTCAGTACCTTCATGTGTCTTTGCAGCAAAGTAGCTAATTCTGGGTACAGCAAGATTTATTGGTCCTCGGCGATCCGAAAGGTTTACAGCACGTCCTTCATGGCTCTGGATACCGTTATCCCAAGGCTCCAGACTCAGATTATAACCTAAACATACTATTTGGGAAGGGAATTATCACAGTAGCTGGTGCAGTCCCGTCTCAAATCGTTGACGGGGCTTGTTACTCAATACGTATCTCTTAGGATCCGTTCACCAACGTCACAGGAAAGTCATGAATCCTGCATTCTCTGCAGCACAACTTCGGACCTTTCTCAGTCTCTTTCAACGATCAGCGAAGAAGGCGAGTCTACGTGATATCCCTTTCCCTCATCACCTACAGTCTAACGAGCTGCTTAGTTCTCTCGAAAGCTTACTGACATGGCGGAAGGTGGGCAATCGAATATTAATATAACGTTATGGCTCGGAAAGCTGACTTTGGACATTATTGGCGAAAGTGAGCCCCTTGAACTGAAAGATACCCTTATTTAGTACTAACGACCACCAAAGGTGCTTTCGGGTATCAATATGGCGCCCTTGATGACGAGAATAATGAACTCGCTAATACGCTGAACAATTTATTGTTCGTAGTACCTGTCGTTTGACTATTTCATTTTCCTCATTTCCTTCCAGTCACGACGCAGGAATATTTCCCTCTCGCGCTGGAATACTATTCTCGGCGTTGCCTAGAATCTTGCCAAAGCCTCTCCTCCAACTCATGGATCTCATTCCTTCTCGGCAAAAGACGCATTTTTCAAGTTTTGAAGTCGCTGCCAAAAAGGTTGGACGGGAACTGCTCAAGGAGAACTCCGAGGGAAGTGGGTTATATTCATCAACTGGTAAGGATGTTCTGAGTATCTTAGGTGAGATGGTGCCATTGGTTGCAAGCACTTGGGCTCATTGAATATCCAGCGCGTGCGAATTCCCAGGAAGAGGAGAAGAAAAGGTTAAGCGACGATGAAGTCCTTGCCCAGATAACGTCAGTTCATCGTATTCCGTCTTAAAGTAATATTATTGAGTCTTCACGGTCACAGCTCACTTACATTGGCAGGACATGAGACTACCGCATCTACGCTCACCTGGACCCTATTCGAACTGTGCAATCACCCCGAGCAGCAAGACCGTATCCGCGCAGAAATAGCGGAGGTCCGAAGCCGATATGCCACTAAAGGCGAACTCACTTCAGCGGATTACGATGGTATGCCGTTTATGAACGCTGTGATCAAGGTGCGCAACTTTGCCTTCGAGTCGTTTGCTCGTTCATTGGTTTGGCGCGCGCAGGAAACTCTCCGATTCCATCCTATTGTTCCCGCCCTGCTGCGTATCGCCACTCATGACGACGTCATCCCACTTACCGACGCAGTGACGACATCCACTGGAGCCAAGCTCACTGAAATCCCTGTGGAGAAGGGTCAGCTCGTCGAGATTGGAATCGCATACTACAATCGGTCAGTATAAGCCGACACCATAATGTTAGATGTGCGCTCACTCTAGGTCGCTACAGTAATCCAACTGTATGGGGTTCCGATGCCGATGCTTGGAGTCCAGATCGATTCTTGGGTGAAATGGACAAGCAGACACCAGTTGGTGTTTATGCTAATCTGTAAGTTTGGTATTAATCGTCAAGAAAACAAGTCTCATTTCCCCGCCTTTAGTCTGACCTTCAGTAAGTCGGTGCTTTGACTATCAAGGTAGTTGAACTCAATAGTCCCTTTCCTGTAAGGTGCTGGGGTCCGCTCCTGTATCGGTTGGCGTTTCGCGTGAGTTTTCGTCCTTCTTGCCTGTCATGTAGGCTCATGATGTGTTGCAGTGTTATGGAGTTACAGGTTATCCTGTTTGAGCTTCTTGAGTCGTTCAAGTTCACTTTCCCTAAGGAAGGCATCGACATCAAACGGCAGCATGCTGGGATTATGATTCCCATGGTGCGAGACGAGATGTCTAAAGGTACTCAGATGCCAATGCATCTGATTCCAAGTCCCATCCAGTATTGAGGATATTACTAGTTTTATACGTGTACCATGATAAGCATATTGTATTTTTCGTCCTGAACACTGCGCTTGATTTCGGATCCGATCCGGAAATCGTCGTCGTCGTTGTCTGCTCCCATGACAATCATATCTTCCTGCTCAATATTATGATGAACACACATATACGAATGACATTAGCTTCACTGAGTACTCGTCTTTGGTCTGAAATTGAGCCTTGAGAATAAAACACAATACGAGAGCCGAGGTATTCACAGCTACAGAGAAGCTCGGAGGTCTATTAAACACCCAGCATTGAACTTACAGGTATATATACCCACCTCTAAAAGGCGGTCTTTTTCATGGGCACTTCGTAAACAGTTACCAATTTATTGGCAGTCGAGGTAAGACGAACCATGTACAGGGGACTAGGGGCTGAATTGTGAAACATCAGCAGCTGGGACGAGGACCCAGGAGTCAAGGCTGAAGTCATTCCACTGTCAGGAGTACAGAGTAGGGTTGCGCACGAAACTCCCAGTTTTGATACACCCCGGTTTCGGACCGGTAAGTTACCGGTAAGAAACTGGTAAGAAACTGGTAAGAAACCAGAGGTCAGTGGAGCATATTTCATTGAGGTAACTTACCGACCACGTGACAGGGAGAAGGATTCTCAGACTTAGATGTGTATAAAGAAATAAGAAGACGTAGCCAGAGAATTCTGATGGGTATTGGGACAGAATTCGTGAGTACTTGAGGTACGACAATGGGGCAGCGTAGCGTCACGGCGTCGTACAGAAGAATTTGGAAAAATGGCTCTGCGGTAGTCACGTGAATGGTCCCGTGACCTGAAGGAGACCGTAAATTACCGTACCGGTAAGAAACCTCCCAGGGAGTACAAAACGGTATCAAACCCCTGGAGGTTTCGTGCGCAGACCTAGTGTGCACTGCGGAACGAGAAAAAATCAAAAAGCGAAGAACTCTCTGACTGGGAGTCGAACCCAGCTTTCGCGCGAAATCTAAATGACAGGCGCGTGTACTAACCGATATACTATCAGAGATACACACCTAACTGACATTTATATTATATGATAATTAGTCAGAGGACTAATTAGGAACTGTACAGACGACATCAACCGACTTTACGCCGGTACCAATACCATGCAATGGTCGACTCCGGGCCTCTGGCCTCTATTTCTATCTCTTGTCGTCCCAACTCTTGCTGTATGGCCATTCTCGCCGAAACGCTTTACGGGAAACTCGTTAGTAGGCGCTGGGTCGAGAGGCATCGTACACGGTGAAAGGGCGATTGCTTTCGGAGACTTCAATGGGGACCAATTGTATGTCGTTGCATGGTTATTTTGTCGATATCCTGACCGTGAACGCAGCTTAGATGTTTTGATGCTGGATGAGGACCGACAGACACTGATTGTATACCTCTGGGACCACGGTAAGCGCCAGTTTCGTACTTGAAGACGAGTAGGAAGGTGACACGTACGTTTCGCAGTGGATTTTGAATTCAAGGAATCGGCATCGTTCAGGTATCCAGTGGTGGTGGAGAACGTTGTCCCCGGCGACTTTACACATTCGGGGAAGCTGGATTTGTTGGTTATGGGTCGCAGTAGAATAGGCAGCGCCGTCGACATGGTGCTGTACCCTGCATTGCCTGGCGGCGGCTTCGGTTCGTACTGGATATATACGCTATGGTTGCCTCTGACTTTATGTCAGATGTGGCCAGTCCAATTTCCGTGGCCTCCTCCAAAGCCCCTCAGCCAATACCTGTAGATTTGGATGGCGACATGAAGATTGACCTATTGGGAATAACGTCTGACTCTGACAAGCCATTGAAGGCGTGGCAAAATGTGTGGAATGCCTCGCAGGCTCACTCACCGTTGTTCGACATGTGCGTTTAGCTTGTGTATGCTATTCTGTGCTTACAGTTTTGCAGCATCGACCCAGAATTTCATGGTACACAGTGTACCCTTGCTTCTCCTCATAGCAATGCAGTGGTGGACCTCAACGGGGATTGTCTTGCAGGTCCGTCTAGGTTTCTTACCGCCTACCACAATCTAACCGATCACAGACGTCTTCCTCGTATGCGACGCCGGTGGAGCCAGACGGTCCTTCCAGATCTGGGTCAACGAGAAAGATGATGGATTCTATCTCGCACAGCAAGGCTCTCTTCCCTCTGGCGTCCAAGCCATCTCTTTTGCCGACATCGACCGCGACGGGACTATTGACATGATATTCCCCACGTGTTCCTCTGTATCAACGTCCAGCGGTCTTGGAACCAACTGCTATATAAACATCGCCTACAATAAACAACTCCCTCTTTGCGCCTCGTCCACCCAACCTTCTATTGTCAAAGGTGTTCGTAAATGTCGGTCTCCTGAGAACCTGTGCATTGCAGATGCAGACTTCAACTTTGACTTGAGAGATAGCAGCGATAATGATGCCTTTGCGCGGTTCCCCTTGTCTTCCCTCGACAGTGGCGCGCTCTTGGTCCTCGATACTTCGCTTTCCCCTGCGGTTCCCCTGCCTATCAAGCTAGGTGATGCCAATCTGGATGGGTTTCCTGATCTGCTACTCATAATCGACCACACGCCAAAGCTTGTGTTTTCAGTCCCGTGCGAAAAGGGCGTCACTGGTTGTGCCAAGGACGGCAGTGGAAAACGGGGCTGGCATGTGGAGAAGAAGGGCGCGGAAGTGTTGGATACCATCAAGGATGCGCGAAGTGTATCCTTTGTAGATATGGATGAAGATGTAAGTTCGTTCTCTACCTGTGCGAATCTGGTCACTTACGTCACTTCTAAAGGGCACCCTGGACGTTATGGTCCAGCGATCTGGGTCGGAAAAAATATCGTTCGTGCAGAACAACTTTTACTATGACGCGTTCTTCCTCAAGGCCATCGGTACGTCCGCGCGATTGTCTTTCGATGAAGCTAATACGCACCCTAGTTTTGAATGGCGCATGCAATAACGGATGGTGTTACGGTCCCAACGGAACCCGATATCATGTATGTATACCCTTCAATAGTGTAATGACCCTACCTAACCTTTCCTCTAGCCATTCGGTGTAAGCTACTCCGGAGCCTCATACAAGTACACCATCCTGGACACTTCTGGCCGTCGTTCCGCAGCGCAAAGTATGGACTTCCCTTCCTCACCCTTTTCTTACTAACCCTCCTCCATATAGTTGGTCAGCTCCCCCAAACATCCTATCACGCCCTTCAATCGCCTTATTCTTTCTTCGGCTTGGGTCGGACGAACAACTACATTGAGAACCTCTTCGTTGGGAGCACCATGCACGTGGATGAGCATTACATCAACATCGAAGGCGTCATACCGAACTCAAAGGTAGTCATATTACCTGGACCGGACGGGGCAGCGTGGAAGAGGCAGCTCTTTTTGAGGCCGGGCAAGTGGATCCCGTGGGTGACGGTTACGGTTGTGGTGGGAACCATCTTGTTGGCCGTCATTGTGCTGGTGTTGCATTTGAATGAAAAGGTGCGTTTCTCGATTTTGGGTTGGAGTATCTCTCATTTATTTTGATATAAAGAGAGAGGACGAGTTGGAGAGACGCAGGGCGTCGCATCATATCAATTTCGATGCGCTGTAGGATTTTGGATTCATTTGGCATTATAATTGTACAGTACATTTACGTTATTACCTTTTGACGATTACTTCTTCCTTCTTCGGATCTCAACGGAAGCTACAGAGTCCGCGCTAGTGTCAACCTTCACGGAGCCCTCGCACTTTGGCTATGTCAGAGGGAGGAGTGGGGGACTCAGGAATGCTGATGTCCTCACATCTAGATGATGCCCCAATAAGAGCTAATCTTGTCCTTCATTCACGATTTTATGAATATGCCGTACGCTTTTTCAGTCTGTTGCTCCTCTGAATCACGGGTGCCGTCCTGACTACTAGTTATCAGTGGTGTCATGGATCCATTACTCAACGATGAAACCAGGAATGATTTTCCCTATGAATCTTACATTTTCTCTGTCCCTTTCTCGAAAGCGGACGGGTAGCTCTACTTGTCACTAGGCGCTCCTTCTCCGCTTCTTACCATCCCCACGCCCTCACTCGAAGCAACACAATGTCGTCGCCGCCACCAGAATAACGAAAATCAGTTCTAACACAGCCTCCCATCCTAATGAGCCCAGCTAACTGACTATGGTCAGCCTTCCCGTACCATCGTTCGAGTCTAAACTCTATAAAGGCGCGGCCTTAACTGGCCTTAAAAACTTGATCAACCTCAGCGAAGGAGAAGTACCAGTGCTCTGGGTTGACCCGGATGATCGGTAGGCGCTTACTCACAACGACGTCGAACCCGACGCTTTGGTACCAAGTTGAGCAACTCAAGATCTCACCTCTCACCGTCGTATCGCAATCGCATCCTTCGACATTACCTTCAGTGCTCGTTTCCATAAAAGCTCGGAATGCCTAGAGGCGAACACATGCTGTTATCCCAATCATATCTATGCCGGGAATTTGCGATCGGGTTCACACCGCACAAAACTTGATAAAAGGGAGATGGCAAACAAAACTCTTCTGCACTTATTGTCCCCCATCGATATGGTGCCCCAAGCATCTGCCAATACTCCTTCAGAGCCAGAAAAGTCTCCTGAATCGAGCTCTGCGGGCAATCGACCCCCGTCAGCGACAACTCTATCTCCCGTGCGATTCGCTCCTGGTGCCCTTGACCTAGAGAGCTCGCTGCCGAAGGTCGACACGCCAATTGACGATCCCTTTGGGCTGAGAGCTGCTTTGCGAGACCCGGACGAAGTGGCTGCTCTGTGTAAGCGATGGAACCTGCGTAAGCAACGTCACATTGGGAAGTTTTACGAGACCCAGAACGAGAAGATTGATGCATCGTTGAAGGTTTGTTCAATTGGTTGGTCACGGGGGTGTCTTCTACAATGATTGTTTCTTCTCTCGTATAGAGTATGGAGAGTCACGCTCAGGATGGGGAAGATGACACGAGGGATAGCGCTTTGAAGGTGTGTACTATATCCGTGTCACATGTACTCCAGGAGATTGGCCCATGGTTGAGTGACTGCAGGTCAAAATTGCTGTATACGTTTCGTTCCTTGCGAACTTCACGTTATCTATTTTGCAGCTCTATGCTGCTATATCGTCTCTCTCTCTGTCTTTTTTCGTTAGTGAGTCCAAGCATGTTCGGAGTCTGCATGTAACATTTACTGACGTCTGTCTGTATAGCTGCTGCAGATTCAGTCTCTGATCCCCTCGCGAACATACTCTTGAACCTGCTTCATCGCAAGTCGAAGCGCGTGGACCTCAATAAATATCCTGGCGTATGTCGAAGCGAACTATCTGCTGATATACTTATTTACTCCATCAGGGTGGTGCTCGTCTAACTACGATCGGAAATATCGTGTATTCGTCCGCCATGCTTTCTGTCAGCATTATCCTCGTAGTACGTCTGGCGCCTGCCAAGTACCTCAGCATGTTTTGTGTGACTGACAAGGATATTGAAACCAGGCTTTCTCGGCCCAAGATCTAGCCAACCATAAGGGTGGAGATACTCTGGAATTTCACGTTCCCTCAGTTATTGCTGTCGGCATCGCTTTTGGTGAGGAGACCATTTCGTTTTCTTGTAAGTGTTTAGTTAACACGTACCTATGTCCTTAGTCACGAAAGCTCTCCTTTTTTTGTACTGCTTCTCTATCCGAAACTCGAGCTCGCAAGTTCAGGTTCTATGGCAGGATCATCGGAATGATCTCTTGATCAAGTATGTCAGCTTGGTTGTGAGTAGCCAATACTAAAATCCTGTTGGTAGTGGATTTGGTCTCTTTACTAGCAGCGCCGGTGCCAAACTCAGGTGGTGGATCGATCCTATGGGTGCTATCATTATCTCATGCGTCGTTATCGTTTCGTGGTCATACACATCGTATAGTGCGTTCTCTTGCATGACATCGCCTCTCCTAAGCTCACGTGTTTCACCAGTACAATTCGGCTACCTTGCTGGCAAAGCTGCCCCCCATGAATTTACACAACTAGTCATATACAAGACGCTCACGTTCAGTGACGAAATTAA